TCCAGACCTGGTAATTCAATAGGCTACTCTCAAAACGGTCTTTTCCCAAAGCAAGCCACATGGATGTTTCCTGTTACACTTCTTCACTACAAATCCCCCATGCCCCCTTGTAATCAATGTTAGTAAGCGACACGGTTGCTGTTATACATGAAACAAAGCGGCCACCCCCATATCATGCCTTCAACATTGCTTTCAGGGGGGTGCGGGGGATGTCAGTGTTCAATCACGGAGCTTGGTACTTGAGGAAGAGATAGCTTCAATACTTGTGACTGGAGGTGGGCTTGAGAATTTGTAATTGGCTGAGTCTCTGCGTGAAATTTATAAGTAGCCGGAGGCATCCGCAAGTGTACGGAAGAGAAGGAAGAAAGGAAACATATTGCAGGCGGCTGTCAATTTGCACCAGGTCACACCACATGATTCTTGTGACAATTAAAGCCAGTCTCTTTTCTCTTTTCCAGCAACCCGAACAGAAGAAGGAGCAATTGAAACCGGGAATGGTATTCCATGGGGTCTGTGATTGGTGTTCTATTTTGTTTCGGAAGAACAAGCATATGTTATGCTACGATCGGGTGCATCGGCGGCCAAGAAAACAAGTCCGCGTTCGCAGGCCTTTTGAGGCTTCAGACTCTCGGGCCCCGGTTGTGTGTGTGTGTGCGTCGAGGCAACGCTAGCTATGTGCCAATCTTCTTCCACCCCTCCATTGACGTCAATTCACCCAGAAATACCACTGTAAAGTGGAATGTTGGTAGCGGCGCCTATACTGGAAACATTTGAATGTGTGATGCTGCGCAAACATTTGCGCTGCGTAGCGAAGGGTTCCCGTTTATAGTTGGGGGTCTGGGGGTTGGAGCTGTGTTTGCATGGCTTGCGTCGTCTGTCGTCGTCTGTCGTTTGCATGGATGTGTCACGTGTCAGTTTGCGCCGCTGTTCCATTGTGATTTGCATGACAATGACATGTCGCGCAAGAAACGTGATGCATTTCGCTACACAGGCGCAGCGTTTTGTGAGATCCGCAGATTGCTGCGCAGTTCCACTGGGATTAGCGTTTGGAGAGTTGTGTTTTCGGGGTGTTGGATGTGGCCGTGCCATTGGGATTTGCGTTTCAGGGTGTGGCACCGAAGCACGGTTTTCGTGACAAGTCTCAACGTGTGGTGTGGTGCAAATTTTGTTGAAGCTCACATGAGATGATATTGTCACTTTTCGTGGCAGGCGCAGGACTTTGTGCGGGTTTTGAGGCGTGGAAGTGCGATTCTCGTGGCAGGCGCAGGGAATCGTGAGGTTGCGAGGTGTGACGGAGGTGACATTTCGTGGCAGGCGCAGTACTTTGTGCGCGTTAGACGTGTGGACGCGGAAAGATTCGTGGCGGGAATCGTGAGGTTGTGAGTTGTGGTAGAGGTGAATGTCGCTGTCACATTGGGATTGGCGTGTGCGCGGATGTTGTTTGGAGGGGCTGGAATCGCGAAACTGCTTGGCAGGGCTGCGTGATGTGTGTGCTCCGATGGGTGTTTCCGCTTGACTTTTGGAGGAAGTCTCGTACGAAACGCTCGTTTTGCAGACTTTGACGTGTGAGTTTTTGAGGAAGTCTCGTAAAAGTAAGGCCAGAAAGCGGATTCACCTTTGGCACCGCTACGCAGACGCAAAAAATCACATTTTGAGCAACCATTCACCTCACGCTAGCTTGGGCCTCAGGTTTGGACCTTCTGGCAAAGTTTGTCGTACATTGCCGACAAATACAAAGATCGGAAGCTGCTCGGGTTAAACTTTGATGAGACGTCCGTAGCATGTGCGCCACAGTGTCCGACTGGGTACATCGTTTCTAGAAAGCGTTGGAAGGTCAATCCATTTTGCACAGCGCGCAAAGAGGCCTTGGGTATCAAGCCCGGTTAAGCCTTGGAGCCGTTTTCCACTGTGCTTTTTTGGCCAAAGGGTTGCTGACGCACAGTGACGAAAAGCTTTCCTGTAGGTCAAGAAGCGTAGTCGGCTGATGAAGAAGGCGCAAGGCCTGACGGTGGCGGACCTTGCTTGGCTAATGGCCCAACGTGCTTCCGAGTGAATGCGGCCAATTGCAGAACCTTGGTGAAGCCATGCAGGGGTGCAGCACTTTGGATTCTACTTCAGGGTGCTCTTCGCGCAATGGTCTCTGCGATCTTGCGACCGGGCGAAGCCCGGGTGTGGACGCATGTGTCACTTCGCTTCTAAAAGAAGCAATGAACCGTTCATTGTACACGCACGCTTGCTGTCACTGAGCTGGCGGTGTCACTAGAATCAAAAAAGGCCACCGTATGAATGCGTGCTCCTTTCAACCATGCTGGCACTGTATGTATACACATAAATAAATAGTACTATTCTCATTATAAAAGTTGAATTTAAACCAAACATAGGTTCTAGTTTAGAATAGGCTAAGCAGCAATGACTTCAAACATTAACACAGGTACAGTAAATATTCAAAGAGATTGCCATTTGGGAGGATTCATCCCCTATTGTTTTTGCTTGTTGCAATTTTCTAACTCCTTTTCAATACTTCCATTCAACTTGTTTCTCTCTTGATAGACCCTCGGTTAGTTAACGTGAGTCAAAACCTATGTTGAACATCTTCGCTTGATTACAGATTCTATAAAGTAATTCTCATTTTGGCTGCAGGACTTCTGGCTCTTTGGCATTGCTGTGACCAACCTCGAGCATGGGCGGGTATGATAGCTACACAACCAGCACTCCAGCAGACGTCATCTGAGACAAGGACAATCAGTCTTCTGCCTGTGCGCTGAAGCGGGGGGCAAACAAAGGCAAATTTTGCTTGCTTCTTGATGATCGCCCCCAAGCAAGAAAATGGGCTGAAGAAAGGCCACTTAGTTCTGTGGTAGCCCAACATGCATGCCCCAACCCAACCGCCTCCTCCGCCTCAGCTGCCGCGGCAGCCGCCGCGATGGCGGCGGCCACATGGTCCTGGATCAGTTTCGAGAGCAGCAAAACAGATCCAGACAACATACTAGTAGCAAGGCACCTTACTAGTAGAAGCAAGAAGCTACTAGTAGCGAGTTGCCCTTACTAGTCGTAACAAGCTACTAGCAGTAAGGCACCTTGCCACTAGTAGCTTCTTGACTTGACCCGGTGATGGCAATTCCATTGGAGCTGCGGACGTGAGCCCGTTCGGGAGGTGTTTCTGTTTTTGTCACGTCACTGTCACACTGTCGCCCACTTGCCATGCTCAAACATTGGTTGATCCAGCTGAGCACACTTAATTCAACGAAAGACTGGGTTTGTAAAGCAATAGAATCTCCAACCTAGAAGCGATGGCCTCCAACCTACTAGTGATGGCCTCCACCTAGTAGCGTCCTTTTAAAAGCACTTAAACCATAAAGTGTAGAATCTTCCAATCCTAAGCAACCTTGGTGCCGACTGCGTCAGTGGGCAATTCAGGTGCTCTTCTTTCACGAGGTCAAATGTCCAGTAGGTCCAACATTTGAATCAGGAGGGCTCGAGTCAGGATTTGCGATCCGATTGTTTCTGTCACTTTAGTTCTTTCTAGCAAAAATCGTGTGCCTGTGCCCACTTTGCTCCACGGCAAGTCTTCAATTTGCACCCTATTCTGGAGGTGTTTGCACCCATGGTGAATCATCAATTCCATACCCCTCCCACGAGCATAAAAAAGCGCCGCTTTTCTCAGACGCCTCAGCCGGAACCTCCAAGAAGTTCATCTTGGATGCGTCCAGGATCACGTCGCTCTCGTCGGCGCAGGCGAACTCAAAGGGTGGCACGAGGTCAAACCTGAGCCGGGTTGGATCTCATCTTGCAAGGCTCAGAGTCAACGGTGCCGGCGAAATGAACCAAACCAGCACGTGGTTCGGATCCGAAGTGTTTGCGGAAACTGACCATCCCCACAACAACGGACTTGCAGGCGATTCACGTACGGTGTGGTTCTTTTTGATCGCGTGAAAACAATCTTTTTGGAATTTGCGGATGTTTCTCTAGTTTGCTGATTCCACCGGCCTTTATACACAAGCTACGGACGTTTATTGGTGAGCCACGGTCGCTTTTCCCGAATGTGTTTTTCAGCGGATAATGATGTGGCTCACAGACCCAAATAAAGGTATGTTGAACTACTGGCCAAAAGAAACAACCACGAGGTTGCAGGCATGTATCTCAGTGATTTGGCCTGACCTTTGAGTTGACCTATGGGTGGTCAACAAAGGTGCATGCCTTCTCAATGGGTTCTGTGTTGCCCTTGTGTTGCCGCCACCTCCTCCATCTGGACTTAAGCAAGGCCTATTGATGTAGAAGTGATCCACTCACATCGAATTGCAGTCCGCCTATGTTTCACAAGGTTGGAGGCCATCGCTACTAGGGTGGAGGCCAACATGTTTTCTTCACATGGAAGCATGGGCTCGCCCATGGGTTTTGTCGGTCGTTCTTCAGCGTCGGAAAGAACCTGCCCAAACCGTGCCGTGCTCGTGTGCCGTGCTTTCGGGCTGTGTGTTCAGCTGCTCCCACGAAGTTTCACCTGGCCAGGTCTCCCAAAAAACCGCCGAAAAGAAGTAGACCCAAAAGGTACAGAAATCGAGATGATCATCTTTGTAGAAAAAACAGGTCTAGAAAAGGACAGGAAGAAAGGTCTAAAGCAGAAAAAACAACACGGAAGAAAGTTCTCAAGCAGAAAAGACCAATCATGAAGAACGGCTAAAGGAAAAAAGTCCAAAGAACAACAACATAACATTAAGAAAGGTATAAATAACAAAAAGAAAAAAGGATCACAGGTCTGAAAAACCCGAACAATGGTCTAACGCAAAAAAGGAAAAAGGGTCCACGAACAAACATGAACAAAAAGGACCTAAGGTCTGAAGAACAAATGAAAAAACACAAATAAAAGGTGCAAAGAAAGAAACGGGCACAGAGATGATTTCAACATTATCATCCGGACACCGTCACGGCTCACCCGGCCGAGACACGGCCACTTTTCACAAACATGCCAGAGTGAGCTGGTCGGCACGATCAAAGGCACACCTTCAGGCAAACCTGAGCAGCAGAGCTTCGTAAAACCTTTGGACCCAAAAGCTGATTCCCAAACCCTTCGGAAGTGCCCATCTGAAGTCGGGAGATGCTTTTGCCCTGCCTGAAATCCCAAGATTGAAAGACTCTTAGACAGGTTTTGCATGTTATCGTTCTCGCTTGGTGTATTGGCTAACATCCACGTTTTCTCTTTATTTGTGCAGTCTGCCGAAAAGCGAGGAAACCATAATTACCTTTCATTTCTTGTTGAGAATACGGAGCCAGTGTCGCTTCTTTATAGAACACATGGAATAGTCATGTCCAAACAAGACATTTTCCTCAGTCTCACTGAAGGTCTGAAGGTTGCGAGCTACTTCTGTGAGGTTCCCCCCTTCGAGACCGAAAGAAACATCCAAAAGGTCGTACGTCGTGATCGGCCAGAGGTTGCGGACTCCGAAAACACCAATTGAGCAAAGGCTGGGCCAGAATCACTGGATGTTTGTTACGCTGCACTCACCATCCATCCCGGGAACGGTGAGATATCAATGACGTCACTGACGTCGATCGGAAAACCTGCGTCGATAGCATGCGGCATGCAGCCCAAATGGCCCATGGCTCCGATGAGCAAAATATGCCCGGCAGGCACTGCAAGAGAACCGTCTTGGCCCTGGCAGGTGTGGGGAGTTGGGTGGAGGCCATCGCTATTAGAAACAAAGATGAAAGAAAAGGAAGAAAGGTCTTATGTTCTACAAATATTCAGGTTGGAGGCCATTGCTATTGGGTGTGGGGAGTGCAGGTGTGTGGTTCCAGACCCTTCTTGCGAAGGCAAAGATGGGCTGGACATGGCTGTGCCCATAGATTGGGTGTCTCACAACATTCGAAAATAAGCCGAAAGAAAAGCTGCAATGATGGCCTCCAACCTAGCAATGGCCTGCAACCGGCGATGGACTGCAGACGGATCCAAAAGGCAAACGTGACTTCGGAACGTCACGGATCCGCCACATGTCCAATGGAAGTCAAGTGAAGAGATTTCCAAAAGGGGGGGGCTAGTGGAGAAAACCGGACCTTACCTAAAATTCTTCTTGCATCTTTTTATCCTTCTCCTTTAGGCTTTGCTCCGCGCTCAATCTTTGCGATTTCTTTGCTGGACTGGGTTCTTCGACGCGCCTTTTTGCCGTTTGGATCAACGGCCTCCAAATTGACCAGAAATGGGATGCAAACATGCCAGGATGACCGGCGGCAACCTCAGCCCCAAAGACCGTGCGACGGGCTTCACAGAACACTCTCAAAAATACCGGCGATGGGCTAGACGGAGGAAAACTAACGAAGTTATGGCACCACCTGTTTGTAGGATTTCATGGTCCGCCATCCACTTCCATTCTGGGTTCATCGTGTATATCAAATGAAACGCGAAACTTCCGGCCCGATTGCCACTACATCTGAAGACTGCAGGCTCCGACTTCAGAGCACCAGTGTTTGCTTCAGAACACCTGCTTCAGGAGCTTCGCTCTGCTCCGATGCCCGGCATTCAGACACCCTGAATACAACAAACCTGGGCATGCGGATCAACAAAACCTCAACTTCACAGCCATTTGGCAACATCTGCAAATGAAAATCCGGCTACAGAAAAGACTGCAAAGGAGCCGACAGACATATCCGGAAGACGACCTACCTAACCATTGTGTTTCCTTCACTTGTCTCCCATCCTGGATGGAACACTCAGGAGGCATCCTTGATGTTTTGGGGGTTCCCCTCCGTCGAACATCGATCCGTACCACTCTTCACCCTGCGACCTGGGTGAACCCCGCACGCAGGGCACCAGGACCGTCCCTGCCGGCATGGACTCCATGTCTTTGGGGAAGAACTCAGGAGCCTCACCCGGCGGACCCACGGTACGACCTTTTGCGATGTTCCGGTCCAAGAGCATTTCCGGAAGATTAAAGAGGTGTGTGAAAGTTTCCAAAGCTAGCGATGGCCTCCAACCTAAGAGCATGTTCGAAATATTTGTGAAAGAGATACATCCTCATAAGGTCCTTAAACATGTTGCCGAGCGACAAAGTCTTTGATTCGAGCGACGAAAAGTCGTGATACCGTTCTTCGGATCGTTTCTGCCACACAGAGCGAAGCACCGGGAAGGTCGTTCTGCCGAAGCGAAGCACCGGCCTCGGCCCGCATCGATCTCTTCTCCTCACAAAGCGGCCAGGACGAAGTCGCACGTAGCTTCACCAGACGTGAACCATTTCTAGCATCCTTGCTCCTAGTAGCGATGCCAGGAGCCCCTAGCAGCTTCTTGGTTCTACCAAACACCCATGATGTTCTAGATCTTAAACTACAAAACCAGATCAACCTTTCTTTCAACGGTCTTGGAACACCATGAACAACCATGAATAGAATCCATGGATTCTTGTGTATAAACATCGTCAGCAATCTTGAGTAGCATTGAGCTTTTGTGGTGATTGCCGCAGTTCCATCGACTGTTCCGTTCATCCCTTCGTTCCCTTCGTCGCATCCTCGCTCTTCTTCGCCAGCTTGGACCAAGGTGCAGGTGTGGCCTTTTGGTCTGTTAGGACGTCGAACGAGACGGAGGCGGCCGGGTGTGCCACAGTGGTGGCGCTGTTTCGGGTTGGACCCGGAAGACATAGAAAGACAGCCTTTTACTAAGAGCAATGGCCTCCAACCTACTAGCGATGGCCTTCACCATAGAGCCAAGAACGCATATTGACAGTGACACAGCATTGGACTGGGAAATTCATCGGTGTGATGTGCTCGACACCCAAATGGATCGACAAAGCTCTTCCCCATCTCATCACTCACTTAGCTCGAAAGAACAGTTCCCAAATCACTGAAGGTAACTCGCGGACGGGTGCCTTAGGTGACAAGAAAAAGCGATGGCTTCGATCAGTGCAGCGAAGCCAATTTCGAGGTTGACTGTATCAAAACAAACAGGGTGTGCATCAGCTTGGCCATCGTTCGAGGTCGCCGTTTTACGAAGATTATCGATTGTGAAGATCACGCTAGCAGGGCTTTTCATGACGAAGACTTCGAGACATTCCTTCCTGGAGGAATTGATAGAAAGAAGGCCAGTGGTGAAAAGTCCTGAAGTCTTGCGACAAGTACAGAGAGCAAGAGATGCCTAAAAGTAGAGATCTTTGACGAGAAGAAAACAACACATTCCAAAAGTAGAGATCTCTGACGAGAAGTCTCGCAAAGGAGAAACTTCCAAAAGCGAAGGAAAGTCGAGATTTAGAAACAAGAAGCTAGTAGTAACAAGTGCCACGCTAGTAGTAACAGGTGCCTTACTAGTAGTAACAAGAAGCTATTAGAAACAAGAAGCTCCAAGAGAAAAGCTTTTGGACAGTCACACCGCACCGCCCCACGTCTTCGACACATCACATCTATAGTCACAGAACATTTATCTCCAGGATCGGCCTGAGTGGGTTTCTTTATCTAGTAGGTTGGAGGCCATGGAGAAAGAAACAAGCAACAAAAGACCTAAAGGTCACTGAAGGTCTACGGAATACAACGACAAAGAACACAAAGGAGACAACAAGTGAACGTTCCCTCCCCTCTTTTTCTTCTAGCAATTGCTCCTTTCAACTTTCAGTCTCATCAAAGGAATTATTTGCGTGGTTGGCAAAGAATAAAGGGAACAACGAGTTACATAAACAATAGGAAACAAAGGCAGGATACCAAAGAATGTCAAAGGGTCCGCTTAAAAAAAGAGCAACTTCTCAGCGCGGGTCGCACGCGATGGCCGCCCGTGCCTTGGGGAGAGAATCTCGTCTACCTGGTGGTTTCCACACAGAGCACCGGTCCCCTACGGCATTGTTAGTCTTACTAGTAGCAAGAAGCTAGTAGGTGGAGGCCACCGCTACTAGGGTGGAGGCCATTACTACTAGTAACGTGAAGCTACTAGTAGCTTTTTGTCACTAGTAGCGATGGCCTCCACCCTAGACAAGATGTAGCTTCTTGTTACTAGCAGCTATTTGCTCCTAGTAGTAATGCCAGGAGCTACTAGTAGCGTCCTTGCTCGTAGTAGCGATGCCCTTTGTTACTAGTAGCTTCTTGTTCCTGGTGTCCCCTGCGACATTGTTAGTCTTACCAGTAGCCTTTTGCTACTAGTAGCGCAATGTTGGCATGTCAAATGTACAACCTGAATCAATTGCCGTGGACCAGCCTCCGCTTGCGGAAGCAGATGCACTCTGCTTGGCCCGCGGAGCCTCGCACTGCGGAGTGTGGGAGAGGGAGTTTTGGTGATTTGAAGCACTCAGTATGCACTTGTAGTAGCTTCTTGCGACTACTGGAATGCCCTTGCTACTAGTAGCAAGAAGCTCAAAATGTGTCTCTAAAACACGCAATTGACCCACCACTTTTTTTGGAAAGCCTTGTGCTGTTCAGATCGGAGGGTGAAGAACCATCTAAAGGCGAGACATCGCACGGATGCGGGATAGCAAGGGACAAATCTAAACCCTATGCCTATGCTGCATGGAACTGAACAATCTCATCCTGTGATAAGGCCTCTTGTGCATGCAGGAGGCGGCTTTTGCCTGAACCCTACAAATGTACAGAGATGCTAGACCCACGAGAGAAAAACACACTCAAACACTAATGGATGAACTATCTACTAAATCAAATGCAACATGTGTATATCATGGACTAGAAATTCAAGCGAGCTCAAAACCTCGGGTCTTGCGATAGATTGATAGGGAGCAGGGAAGGGCCTAAGGGGATACCAATCCGAGAGCCGCACAGCAACCCTCAAGCAAAGTCAACAACAACACACAAGAACACTTTTGCTTTGGATTACCATCATTGTTTTTTGGGTGAGACTTCTGTTTTAAACGTCATCATCCCCTGAACCGGTGCTGCATCCTCCGCCGAGCAGCTGGAGCCGCGAGACTCTTGGGCGGATCCTGTGCCGGACGAAGAACCCATGGCTGGAGGGGGCATCCAGGCTAGTAGGTTGGAGGCCAATACTAGTAGCAAGAGGACGCTACTAGGAACAAAGGGGCATCGCTACGAACGGAGCAAGGACGCTAAAAAAGAGGCTCCTGGCCTTACTACTAGTAGCAAGGACGCTACTAGGAACAAGTGCATCGCTACTAGGAACAAGTGCCTTACTAGTAGTAACAAGAAGCTACTAGTAGCAAGGCACCTTACTACTAGTAGCAAGGACGCTACTAGGTTCCTTGCATCATAAGGCATTCTGAGTTTGCACCACGTGCGCAGACTGTGCACTGCACCGGGTCGGGTCGGGCGTCCATTCCAGTGCTCGAAGCGGGTTCAGCACATGGAACTCTCCTCGTCCCGTGAATCAAAGGATCCAAGACATTCCTCCAGGTCCGAACACGAGGGTCCAGAACACGACAAGGCACCTGCAGCTCCCGGAACCACCGCACGAGTTGTTCTCGTATGGGCACTCCACGCCTGAGAAGCACGACTCCAACCGAAGGAGACTCGAAGGAGCAGAGCTGACCGAAGGAGCTGAAGGAGCTTCCAACTCTTGTGACGCAAAACGCTCAAGGTCGGAGGCACAATTGTGGGAAGTACTGTGGAGGTAGGGTGTAGTGAAGACGTTGACGTGAACCACGAGCCCCCCAGAGCCCCCCAGAGCCCCCCAGAGAGCCTCGAGAACTCGCTGTCTTCTTGTGGGAAGGGATTGGGATGAGAAGAGGGCAAAGCTTGGGGCGGCTGCTTGACGGCCTGCCTTTTCCACATCAGATCCCTTCCGCCTCAGCAACTTCCGCCGGATGCTGCCGTTCTGCAGGAAGTCCTCGGAATCAAAGACTCATTCAGACAGACTGGAACACATGGAGTTGTCCATAGTCCATAGTAGCCACCAGCTAGTGGAAACAAGACATGAACCACACCCCTTCGCAAGTGCAAACAGCTGTTATTCAGAACCCAACTTGGAGGAGGAGTATTTTAAAAAATGCTTTTGACATACCCTCGCTCCAGCCAATGCACTGGAAAGACCCAGCGACTCCACTCCTATGCAAGCGATGGCCTTCAACCTACAAGAAGACGTTCATCTTGGAGGGTCGACCCTATGCACTGACCTCCTAGAGCAAGGATGCTACTAGGGGCTCCTGGCCTTACTACTAGGAGCAAAGGACGCTACTAGGAACAAAGGGCATCGCTACGAACGGAGCAAGGACGCTACTAGGGGCTCCTAGAAACTCAGTACCCAACCGTCGAACCCATGGCACTGGGTTTCACACCACGAGCGCCTGAGTACTTAATCTCTCCGGGTTTTCTGGCACCTGAGATGCGGCATGTCCCGTGCTGTTTGACCGAAACATTCAACGTGGCCAAGTCTCCACAAACAACAGGTAGATTCTGCGAGTGACGCTCCAAAAAAATAAATAAATAAATATATATATATATATATATATATCTGTGGCGAGAGACACATGCAGAGATCGATCGAAAACGACCACTAACTGACCACTAACGACAACCGTTATCACATCATTTTCACGAGATGTTTGGTCCTCACCACTTCGCTGTGCGCCGGCTACGTTTTCTCACAAGACATCATATGACACAGCACGATGTTCCGCCCAAGGTTGCTTCCGACCGCCCAGCTTCACCCTCAACTTGCGAAAAACTGAATCCGTCAGTTTCGCTGGAAATCTTCTGTTGTCCATACCTTTCACCGGCTCGTTTTTGGGAGCGGGAAGGTTTCCCTCATTCCCCCCACCGCAAACATCGGCGACCGGCCGCCGGCACATACGGCCACGCCGCGCCTGCACCCCATCCGGCGGTAGGTCTCGCAACTGTTTGGTCTTTGACTTGGTGGGTCTCTCCTGCCAAGTCCAGATGGAACCCCCTGACAGGTCGGACAGAAGGAACCCCCCACGACTCGATCCACCTTTTGGCCCGTTCCAAAGTGCAAACGCAGAGCTGCGATTTGGAAGTCGCTCTGAACGTTGCGTTTCTTTACGAAGTCTTTGGTCTCCGCTGTGCTTGGAAACAGTCCGGGAAGGAAGCGTTTGCTTAAACACGATGTTGTTTTATGCTCGCAAATGAAGACAACAAAACAACAACATCGTGTTGACCATGTGCAAAAGAGCTGCTTCGTGTCCAGTGCGAAAGAGCTCAGCCTCACCCAACAGAGGGAACGAAGCGCCAGATCGGGAAGTGATACAGCCATTGTGTCACTTAGTCGGCAGTCGAATATTCTTCGTACAAGAGGTAGATGTGGTAGTATCCTCCACTAGTACCGATAGCCTAATACTCCCAAAAGGTTTCTGTGTGATCTAAAGTGTAAAACCGAACCCGTCTTCGCAGTTCAACTGAACTGCTCCCTGAGATCTTCACAAACCTGCATATGCTCGCTTTTATCTCTATGCCATTATCACCCTGCACCACCCATATGTGGAGCATATGTGGTATCCTGTGACAAAATTTGCGTCTCTCCCCGCCCATTTCTCCTGAAACTCGTCCTCGGTGTCAGGCCACACCTGAAGCTCGATGGGAGTGGGTCTCAGCCTTGCACCTTTTGGAAAGAACCGAGTCCAAAACAGGTTGACTCGGGTCCAAAGACAGAGTCGACTCCATGAAAAAGGCCCGCAAAAAGACACCAAAAGGCAAGCCACAAAAAGGCACCACCGCCTATATGTGGCCATTGTCTGAAACCCGAACTGCCATCCCCTCTTGTCAAACCAGCTCGAGTCCTTGCGGAAAGCAACAGATGATGCTTCTTTTCGCTGCTTCACTTCACGGGAAGTGAACTGAAACGCTTCCGTGGACCCCTCGAGTTCGGGACACACCCATCGTCCACGCGGTCGTCCCGGTCGATGGCTTGGCTTTTTCGCCCACGTGTCCCTCATGGTCCCTCACAAACTCCTCTCACTAAAGAACACCAAAAAGAGGTGTCTCTAAAGAAAACCATCAAAAGAAAAGACCGCTGAACCTTTAAAGAGCGAACAGCGAGAAAGCCACGTGTCACAGCGAGAAACCGCTTCCCGACGGTCGCCAGGTTTTCTGTACAGAATAAATAGAGTTTTTCTTTTTCACAATGCGATGTAGCCTCGCTCAAAGGTCTTAAAGAGAAAGGACAAAGGAAGGAAACGCACTAGAGCAAGGAAACCTGTGAACCTCTGTGCGGACTGCGGACCTCTTTTGAGAGCTATCAACCCCACATTGGCTACGACACCCATGTTTTGGCCTGAGGCCATCGCTAAGGTGAAAAAGAAAAACGTACAGTCATCTTCTTTAATCCTGTCAAGTCCAATAGCTTGGCACCGAAACGGGCGCGTGAAGAATGTCCTTGTCCTGATGATGGCCTCACCGACGTTCAGATGGACGCAGGACAAATGCGTAGACGTCCAATACAATACAAGGGTATTACCAGGGCCCAGTAGATGATGATGGTTATATAGGTTGCAGGCCCATTTCAAAAATCGTGATAATCATTTTTACCGACGGCTAAGATTCCTGGTTTTGCTGAGACACACCCTAGGCATGGAAGTCCAATACGTTTGCCAATCTCAGGCGTCTGAGGCTGCAACCAGCTTGCGTCTGTGCCGGAAAATGTACACTCTCCTCCACAACCTGCAGGGGATCTCAAGTGGAGTGACACAAGGAGTGTGATGAAAAAACAAGAACACGTTGAAATGACATGAGAAAAAAGCCTGAAGCGAGCTGCACAAAATTCTGATTGCTTCATGCCCAAAGGACAACAGTGCTCAGACTTGAGTTGCAACTCTTGTTGAAGAATCCAACTGTCCCAACATATTGAGCTCATGCCCTAAACGTCATAGCTCGGGAAATCACGTTCGTCAACCCCATACTGCTGCGAGTGGCATCACCCGCAAGTGGAGAAGTAAGCCCAGGGAAGGCGAAACAGTCTTAACTCCTACATGGATTATCATGGATTCACACCAAGGTTAAACAACAAAAACCTCCATGTCCCATTGAAGGACTCACAAGTTGAAAGACTTACAAAGGCATGTGCTCAATTTCCGAAGGATGTGCAATCCGGATCAGGAGGATCCATGATTTACAGTCACCAAAAATGAATTGACTCAAATGAACGATCTTTTGGATAAGTAGTAACAAGTGCCACGCTAGTAGTAACAGGTGCATCGCTTCTAGTAACAAGTGCCTTACTAGTAGTAACAAGAAGCTACTAAGTAAAGCTCAATTCTGGCCAAAAGAATGCATCGCTGTTTTTAGGAGAGAAACAACTTGTTCATGAGGCTGCAGGTCATGCCACTGCGAGCTTACTTGAAGCTGTTTCGATCTTGACCAACACTGTTAGACATTCCATGACATTCCAAGAATACTCCTTGTCTTGCTCCTTTTTGGCCGGTCTGGGCGGCAGCCTCGCCTGGGTCGATGGCTTCTCGGCCTCGTCGCGCTTCTCCTTGGCCTCCGATCACCGGTGTGCCCGGGTGGCCAGCTCACATGTCATTGGGAGTGTTTCGATGGAAAAAGTCAAAGGAGACTTGTAACGTGCCTTCAGATTGAAGCCCGCCCAATAACTCTCGAAACTAATCGTTTTGAGACAACTCAAGAAGATAAGAAGGCTTTCAAGGATTCTAAGACAATATTCATGAAAATACATGAACATAAGCAACCCACACATCTTCGAGGATCGCTACAGGCGTTGACGCGTTTTCACGACTGGTCAACGAAGCCTGCGACTCAGCTGTCTGGCATCATGTTCTTTGTCTTGGAGGTGCACACACCGTGTTCATGTCCTTCAACAAACTCCGCTGATGGCACGTCTCAGACCCATTTGCACTTGAGTGACTGCACCTAAAAAGTCGTGGATCGCGGGTTTTCAGATCCGCCCCCAGGATTTCTCATAAACCACCTGATCTGAGACCCTACCAGTTTACAACTGTTTATACAGTGTTTACAAGGGTACTCACTTTGCTTCCGACTGGCTGGTGACACAGGTGAAACTGTGCCAGTGGCATCTCTACACTTCAAGTAGAACGATCTCGGACTTTCACTCAGAACGAGCATGAAAAAGAAGTTCCACCCAAGTGAGTTCCACCCAAATTCCGAAGGACACCGTTTGGGGTCTGGACAACGGTACAAGTCCGCGCGTGTCGACCGTGTCGTCCGTGCCTTGATGCGGCCCTTGGTGACCATCTGCCAACTGGCGCATCAAGGGCAAGTCGGTCACAGGTCACAGCAGATGAAGACAACTGAGGAGCTGCAGCTGCAGCTGCAAAGGAGACTTCGGAGAATTCTTCCAAAGAACTGCAGCAAATCCGCTGCAGTTCAACTCTGCGTGGACTAAATCTGAAACATCGTGATCTGGACTCCACCCCTCAAACAAACAAAGGAATTAGATGTTGAAACACATATGCAAAAACAAACCCAAAACCCATAGGCACCAACATACATGCACCAATTATAGGCACCTGCCGCTCTGTGAGGAGGGACCCAGTCTCAGGATGCCTGCTATTTGGCCAACCGCATCCAACGTGTCCGGAGACCCCAAAAACGGCCCACACGTTTGGCACGTCCCCCATCCCTTTCGGCCTGCCATCGTCCGACCTGAGATGAGAAGTGGGCGGCCGGTGTCACCCGCCAGAGAGATGGATCAATGGGTTAGCTGTTAACTAACCCCCAAGCCGGAAGCCGATGCCTGGAAGATTGGGTGAAGCAAACTTTTCACCTTTCACCTGGCGACACATGTGGGAAAAGACACTCCCCCGAAACTTCTCCCGAATCGGATGGGGCACCCTTTCTTTGAAGTGGTCGAGCGGTAGACCGGCCTGAGTCTACCTGACTTTTGAGAATTTCAAAACGATGCTTCACGGGTGCAGTTTGGAGCGTTGAGTGCAAACGTCGTCATTGTGCGGTCGGACATTGAGCCCCGCAAAAGAACCAGAAAGCTGCGATGGCCATGGCCTTCCTTTCAGAACGGACATTGACATCTTCACGACCATGCCCAGCTTTGGGAGTGCACAAAGTTGGGAAACTTGGGAAACTCGGCTCAAGATGGCAAGCGAGACACGATTTTTCAGCAAGCCCCATCGACTTCACTGCGCGGCCAGTTAGCCTCAAGCCTCCTCAAAAACCAGATGGACCCCACGAGCCCAAGTGCACACATGCTCTCCAAAACAATCGGCCACATTGCTTGACACTCCTGTGCAACACCCTTGTGGGACACTCTTGTCTGACACTCCTGTGGGACATCCAACACCTCCACCAGACCACCCTGCCAACGCCAATCCCACTGTCACAGCGAAGGCGACTGAGGATCTCACGAAACGCTGCGCCTGCACAGCAAAAATTGTCCTCTACACTTCAACATGTTACGTTTCCATGCTACATACTTCACATGAATCTGACACTTCAGGCTTCCATCCAAAATCTCCTCCAAAAAGCTTCCCCCAACCACAAGGCCTTCTCGTTCTCAGTTGAACTGTGGCGGACGGTTGCAAACGGTTACGGCAACACAAAAGCAACGTCGCCCGAATAACGCTCTACACTCAGACTCCCAAACTTAAACGAGAAACCTTTGCTACGCATTCGGGAAAAACGGACGAAGGGACGAAAGGGCCCATCGCACGGCAGGCGGCTCTCTGCGGATCCAACTAGCCACAGCTGGGCCGCTGCGACACTTGGATCCCCATCCTCCCCTTTCAAACGAAGTTCAAGGACACTCCAAGTTCACCACTTGGGCTCCCCACCCAGGTGCATCTCCTTCCACCTTGGCCTCATCCACCTGGGACTCGGCTGAAAGAGATCCGTGAGTTCCAAAGGAAGGGTTTGGAGTCCGAAGTGACTGCTGGCAATAGTGTTTCTTCCATAATCTTCTTTTCCCGTCCTCTGTTCCATTCTTTTTTTCAATTATGAGTTCTTCCTGCTGCCTGCTCCTGCATAAAGGATATGTTTGAAGAAGTGAAAAACGGGAGCGCTGTCAGTCTGATCTTCGGACTGTTGCTGGGTTCAAGCCGAGCGAACGCACATCCTGATCGCATGGAAGCACAAAGTGAGACGGTACAAAACGAGTTTCTCAATTAAGACGCCTGTGTCCTGTAGATGGAAGAAATCCACCATCTGGGATAGAAACAAACATGACAATCTATATGGCCTATACATATATATATACATATATATATATATATATATCTATTTTCTTATTGACCCATCTCGCAGTCGGACCACGCGGAATGGGGCTAGAATCATGATTCCTCTTCGAACGTCGAAAAACCATGGAAGTGGCAACTTCCTGGAAAGTGGCAGAGCAGTGCCTCATTGAGGATCTTAGGCAAAGACCTTCAAAGTTGGAGATGCTGCATGTGTGGGTGGCTGCTCGTGCTCGGCCTGCTCCGCCTGCCGGCTATCCTTCCACCCAATTTATGGAGCAGCAAATGCCAGCTGCCTGGGTTTATGAGTCTTTCCTTGACTCAAAGATGAGTTTGACAGGTTCATTTTGCAATTTCCTGGCCCCAAACGCAGCACAGGGGAGCTTCATGGTGTCAACATGACTCAACTTTTCAAAGCCCAACGCACGTGAACAAACACCGAAAGCAACGAGACATGCTCTTAGACCAATGTGGCTGTGGGTCAAACCCAGGAGACTGACTGGTTGACCTACTGACGGGGTCCGCTCGTTCGGGGCAAATGGTGGACTGGTCGGGTTCCTTAAACAACCCATCCCCATAGTCAGAAGGTAATCGTCCACCCTGCCCACTCTAGCGGAACCAAGTGGATGGCACCAAGTAAGCCTTTCCAATGCCGACACCTCAGAGTCCTCGGAGTCCTCGCTGGTGTTGGCCTGCCGTTTCCGCGCGTCCGGTTTGTGTCTGTGTCAGCTTCTTGTCATCTTCCCCATATGGACCGTGTTCTTTCGTCCTCATTTGTCCGTGACATGGGGTGATCTGTTTAGATCTTGCACACTTGGTCAAAAGCCAAAAGCGAATTCCTTTTTGCAAATCAATAGGCCAACGGAGTCGGATCTCTTGCGCTGGGTGGGGCATTCGGCCTGCAACACTTCAACCGTAGCCTGTCATCAAACAGTCCGAAACCGGAGCTTCAGAAAAACGTCGGCGGACCAAACCTGAGGATCTCCGGATCAAATAGGGACAACGTTTGTGTCAGCAGGCGGTTTCTTTCTTTCACTTCCAAGACAGGTTGGCTGAGAAGTCCGGTGTCGAAAAACCCATGTTTTTTCGGTCGATCTGATCGATCGGATCTGCAAACTCTTAGCGTTTTCTTTTTTCACCTCCCGGTCGTTGGGCCTCGGCCCGATCTGCATCGCAGTCTGCCTGGGAGTCGTCTTAGCCGGCGGAACATCCCAGGTCGCAGCCTCTCTTCTTGCCAGGGGGAGCTTCGAAAATGCTTCCAAAACCCTTTAGATTGGTGGATTCAAAGGGTGAAGTGGTTGGTGAGTCTGCGCATTTAGCTGACATGGGGCCCAACATGGACATGGAGCTGTAATGAAAGCATCCACCATAGGTCTGCCTGGAACTATCAAAAAGGGGCGGAACTAAGGGACAAATCCTGCACCTCGTTCTCCTCAGGAACTTGGTAAGCAGATCCATGATGCAGTTCTGGCAAGTGGGTATGATCTAAAAGAATGTGTAGGCCAAAGGCCTCTGTGAAGCATGAGGCGTGAATGTTGCTCTACTAATGAAGGAACCATGTCTGCCGAATCCGCGCGATTTTCCACTTGTACAACACGGAAAGTGAGCGTAGAAGCCACCAGTGGGCTTTATAAAGGACAAGTGTCTTAGCACTGAAAAAGCTACACAGGTGTCTTAGCACTCCAAAAAGGGTGGGTGCCAAGGCCGGTGTGCTTTCAAAACTCTTGCAGCTTTGAAGGGGATTGGAGAATCAGCCGAATTGGGTTTCTGCTTCCCAAGTTCGGACACAGCTTGGTGACGCTCCTCCAATCTCCATCTGCCAGGGTCCAAGGCGATGTCCCATCGGCGGACACTGAACTGCTGCAAAGAGAAGAATCATTAACCCTAGGGCTCCAACTACCCTCATGAGGAAGGCGTTTGGGGTGGGTGGGAAGGTCTGTTTATTCCATCGGAGGAGGTGCGATTGGTGCCCTAGGGTATTGCAAGCTCCATCACACACACACCATGTTCCATGGGATATCACACGCACCGTCACGCACCCATGAGCTCAAAGACCTTGCCGGCCATGGTGATTCGATGTAAATCTTTTTTCCGGTTGCATGGATCTGTTTGGATAGCAAGTCAGAAAGACTTCCTGGTGAATTAGCTTTTCTGGGAGAACTACTCCAGGGTCTGATCCCCAAACCTGTTTCTTTTCCTGTTCTACCATGAGATTCAATCCTGTTCCGATCCATGCTCACAAACTGACAATCTCCCGCGTCACCACTGTGCGAGCCCTCGTGGAAACGGATTCTTCCGTCTTCTCTGAGAGTTGAAACTCGAAGAATAATGCACTGGTCACATCACTCACTGCTCCCTGTTGGATAAATGCTCCTCCTTTTCCAGTTCCATGGATAGCCTTGCGATTTCTCTTTCTCTCAATGAAGTGCTCAAACTTTTGTGGATGCCTAGCAATCCTCGTCATGAAGCGTTGGAAGTTCTCTTTATGCAAGTCTCTACAAGAGGACACTTGTGCTGACCAGCTTCTGCTTCTTTGGCTCCAGGAAAGCAGCTTGGACACATCGCTTCGCTCACGGGAGATGGCGCAAGGGATGGCAAGCGGCCCGACTGCCCGCTCCAGCTACACACTCTTGGGCCCCCAAAAGGCTGCCGGTTTTCGCAGTTCGCGCGGTTCCCCAACGGATGTGTAGAATGGTATGATCTAAACAAACAAACAAACATCAATTCAAGAAACATCGAAGAAAAGGATATAACAAGAAGCTACTAGGAACAAGGGCATCGCTACTAGGAGCAAGGACGCTTCTAGGGGCTCCTGGCCTTACTACTAGGAACAAGAAGCTACTAAAAAGTGAGATGTCCAAACGATTTCATTCCGCCGGGCCTCCACAGGTTCCGGCTCGCCAGCAGGCTCCTCCTCACCCTAGCGAGTGTTTCAAACGAGGGTCGTCCTTCTCTCTCGTCGTCTCCAGTGCGAACGACCGCCCCAAACACGAATTTTCTGAACTTCCCTTTGTTCCTAGTAGCGTCCTTGCTCCTAGTACCGATGCCAGGAGCCCCTAGTAGCTTCTCGTTACTAGCCGTCTTCTTGCCTTGTTTGGCAGGTCGCCGGGGCGCTTTGCCTGTTAAAAGGGTCATTGGCCTTTCAGGGTCTTCACTGGACCGCTGTTGTGAAGAAGGTCTTGGCGGCCACCCTGGTCTAGGCCAATGCTCTTGGAAGGCATGTTCGTGATTCGACACATCGGAGGTTGGAACATGAATGTCCGTTGTTTTACTCATTGACCATAGTCGCGGCCAGATTCAACAGCCTGCCTGAACCTTGGTTGGAGACCATTGCTTGGCAACTCAAAAGACACTTGTTTTTACGAGTTGAAGGGTCTTTGTGAGTTCTCCAGAACCAGTCACGAGGTGTTGGAGAATTCCATCCGAGGGCAGCTATTCGATCGAGTGAGACGTGGGTCATGGCTGGAGAATCGTTTCCACTGGCCGTGGGTATTTCCTGGTGATAAAGATCATCTTAAGCAGGTAGAACTACGTGGGCCCGCAGCTGCAGCTCTTTTCCATGTTCCATTGCTGCGTCCATACCCACCCCGGCCACCCGAATACTCTCTCTCCCGGAGTCACCATACCAGCAACTCGATTCCAGGTCTTGAATGGGTTTGTTTTCGAAGGATTTCAAGCTGCTTTCGCATCCCTTTCGCCATTTAGCATGACATTCTTTGCACTTTTTTGGTGCTGAAACTCTCTCCTTCTTGTGCTTCTTTGCTGCTTCAAGGAAGAACAAACAGACCTTGACACACACACACACAAGGGAACATATAGATACCCTCCCTCCAACAAACAGGGCAGTGGATGGCATCTCTTTTGGTGTTCGAAAACAGTCATCCGAACCATTTTCCCATCCACGTTAGACCGGGGAAACGAGTGTCTCCCCACGCTCTCCGGCCGCTCCGCTCGGCCGAGCCGCCGCCTTCGCCGCCTTCGCCTGAACCGGTCGTCCCGGAGGGTTCGTCCAATTCGGACCTGTTTCTACTAGCTTCTTGTTGCTACTAGCAAGGCACTTGTGACTAGTAGCGATGCACTTGTTACTAGTAGCTTCTGTATATTGATGCCATGGCATCAAGGTTTGCCATGTCAAGGTGTCAACGTCTTTTTTCACATCGAAGGAACCAGGATGAAAACGCTTCATTTGTTGGTGGTCAGTGGTCGCAGTAGCGATGAATTTGCTGGTCTCCTCTTGATGAGCGATCGGACGCTACTAGGGGCTCCTGGCCTTACTACTAGGAGCATCCTTACTACTAGGGGCTCCTCATCGTATTCTTGATCACAGCCATGACCCAGGACAACTGCTGGTCTTAGTGCATTGGATCATGGAGGGATGGGTTGTCCAACCTGGAGCCGCAAAAGGCGTCAGCATGGGCTGTCGTCATATTTGCAAAGGCTTATGGGCCAAAACCAGTTGACCCCAGCCTTCGTAACAGCGGCAACACGCAAGGACTTCAAGCTACCTCAAGAACGGACATATGGGCAGTGACATGGGTCGTGGTTATCCCTGCCGAGATTTCCAAATGTCACATACCTGAGAAGCTGCAAAACGAAAGCCAGCGTTTTTACTTTCGAGTGTGCTTTCTCAGG